TCTGCTTTGAGCAGTGTCTTGGACTGGAAGATCCCATGATCCAGCCCAACCTCGAGCAATTTAAAATTCTGAATTCACCTTTGCACCACAGGGGAATATGCTTGCTAAATTTAGGTTTTCCTCAATTTAAATGTGTCTTTAATTTGACTTTTTTTTTCATTTATATCTTCTGCTTCAGCAGATGCATTGCCCACCTGATTTATTAGTTCCTCTAACAAATAATCYGTAATATTGAACAAAAACACTTTCTTCAGGTTAAAAGTGAGTGGAAGCAACATGATCTATAAGTGATCAGAGTTAATTGGTTTTCTTTCTGATCTTTTGTAATGAAAATTACTCTGGTTCATTTACTTAATGAGTAAATGTCTGAGTTTAACATTTAGAATGAGTTTTTTTAACCTGAAGTGATAAAMTTGTAGTTTCTGCCTTGCAAATCTCTCTTGCAATATCACTGCTTTCTGCAGGAGCAGTTTTAACCATTAACAACTTTTTCCAGCATTTATATTTGTGGGTTCTAATTCATACACATTTATCATGATATTTATTTTAAAATGTAATTACATTAACATATTTTATGTTACTATATTTAATAAAGCCCTAGAAGGTTCCAGAAAATATAACACAAGGCTTTTGACCATAGAAGCATTGTGTTTGTTAGTGGGAAATGATGAAGTGCCACATATTTAGCCATATATTCATTGGTGAAAAGTGGTGAAAAGCTTTATTTTTTTTTTTTTTTTCACTTCATATTTAATGAATGTGCAACAAGTTCATATTTATTACATTCTGTGAAGTTGTTGAGCATGAATAAAAACAGAAGTTGGAGAAAATACAGAGAATTTAACTCATGTGGTATAGTTCTATGCATCTTAGCAATTTTGTACAAATATGCCCTGTCTGAATATGATTTGATTTCTGATTTATGTATAATACGTAATATTGTCTCTCAGTGGAATATTTCTGTTCTCAGAGTCATGGAATAATATGTTAAGAACTGTGGTAAGATATGAAAATGTCCAGGTGAGATGCCAAGCTGCTTTGTTTGCTCCCTTCTTGCATATGTAAGCTGAAAGATAAAAAGGGTTTTCTARCCATGATTGTGGTATTTTGGTAGTAAACTGCTGCTTCAGCACAATTCCAGATCAATCCTTTTTTGGCACTTTCCTTGCACCATTATTTCTGATTACATAATCGCTYGGCTATTTTTGTAGATGAAGTCATAGATAATCTAAAAAACCAACGGTGTTTTTATGTTAGGAAAATGTGTCAATTGCAATCATCCAGATTTTTTCCTGTTGTCGGATTTTCTTTCATAAACAGGCAAACRTTTCTAGAATGGTGAGGAAATTGTTTATCATCAGCATCCTGAAATGGGTGCAAAAGCTAAACAGTTACACATGACATTGATTATATTGAATAAGATCATCCCTGCAGTATTTTCCACATGATGATTATGCAAAATCATGCTTCCGATGACTTAATTGCAGTTCTTTACATAATTTTTCATTATAAATAATCAAGCTCTACATTTTGCTAGGTATTGTCATTAACTTTATATATTTTTGTGAGAGCTGTAGTGCTTAATGAAAAATTGATTTTAATTATCAAGAGAAGCTGAATAACATTTCCTTCCCATTTTAAACACTAACTTATTTCTTCTTATAATAATTTAGAGATGAAGCTTGTCAAATCAGTAAGCATTTTATCAACCAAAAGAGGTGACTGAAATTAAACTTATAATTAGATCTRGACATAYACGTGCTCCAGGGAACAGCAGAATKTGACCACCYGATATTGAGCTGGAATAAAAGAAGTGGAGAAATAGCTAAAAGTAATTGTGAATTATAGTTTAAAATACAGAGATAAGAATTCATGTGGATGATGCATTCCATTGTTTATCTTGAAAAGTATGATAAATGTTGAACTAAGTCTGCGAGTGAAAATCAGAGCTGATCAGAGCTTCTGTCCTACCTGTCTGCAGAAAGTCTCATCTGCTTGTTTTTCCTTGCCAGGTGGCCTGGAGCAGATGTCAAATGCAATGTCACTCACACTGCTCTGCTCTTTAATGCTTATTTATCAGCTCCTGGGTGTTCCAAATGCTTGGAAYGCCTCCATATACTCCAGGTATTCTGTCACAGAAAGGACAACTCCACTGCCTCATCTTCATGGT